TTTTATATCATAATTTTGTAAACGTGGAAATAAAAATCCTCACCTTGCCCCACCCTGTGCACGCCAGTGGTCAAATTGCAACCAAATCAAGACCAACTGAAAAGGCATCAACTCCATTTTGTTAACAAATAACAATTTGTCGCGAACCGAAGTCCACCAACGCAAACCAACAAAATGAACAGTGGTTCAGAGCCTAATCTGACAGATGGCAGATGGCCAGGGAAAAACGAGGTGACGCGTCGAAATCTCATTCTGTTATTGGTCAGAATCGGCAAATTGAACGAGAAAACAAATTTGCTTTACATCATAGAATTTGCAGGTTATTATATTGAAATATTTTTTTCTAAAAACGATTTGCTTTGCAGTTGAAGAAAAGTTAATTTCTAAGTTATTAGGAAAATACTTAAAACTTGGAGTCCGCCAGTTCTGTTTTTTTTTGCAGCATTTTCAGTGCAATGCGATTCCAGTTTTCGATCTATAAGGCTGATTTTTTGACGTAGGACTACGTCTTTGTTTTCTATATGGGATACGTCTATTAACGTCTCTTTAAACTGTTCCCCTACAAGAGGAGAATTTAGTTCATTCGAGACGGTTTCTATATGGGGGTACACTTTGAGAGTACAAAAAATGAGCATGTAACGAAAAGGTCAGGTTTTGAACGCATATGTCTCCAAAGCATTAGTGTGAAATATGTCATGCAATATGCCATTCGACGGGGGCTTACTCCAGCAATTTTGTGGCATATAGTGCAAATAGTTAAACAACTAAGAAATTTAACTAAAATGTGTAGCATTAACATTTCCCATACATTTGCTTACACCATAAGCTGTATTTCCAAACAAAGACATCACATAGTTGGTCCCAAACGAATCAAGCCGTTGCCGCATTTCCTTTCGAACTTCAGACGTGTTCGAAAGGCTCCACAAGCAGCTTGCTGCCAAGGCTGCCTGCAAGAGCGCTCTAGACATAATAGCAGTGATGAAGCCAGACTGTCACTGTTTGGGTACAGTTGCTCATCGTGAGAAAGCATTGTGGGCCACCGTCATCAAGCACATTATCGTCATGTCGAAGCTCACCCAAGCTCAAACTAGCTCACCGTATCCGTAGAGGTCTCAGAATTTTGTTACTTACTACCAATGGAAGAGCGCTATCTATGTGAAAAATAGCCTTGACTTAATGGTTAATTTTGTCAACATCCTAGCGAAGCACAACTCGCATGAAAAAATCTAGAAGTTACCACCACGCGTTGCAACCTGATTGGATAATGCAACTAACCAGTCACGTGTCAGCAGCCACTATATAAGCTTTTGTGATTACATAAGCGTTGGATAGTCCTTACTTCTTTTGAGGGCTATCAGGGCCACCTCAATTTTCAAAGAAAGAGCTAGTTTGGAATATTTTCTAACACAAGAATAATTACACATGAACTGAAAAAGAATCTTATTAGTATTAAACTGAAAATGGACACTGACCAATCATTACACTTCAAAAAAAATTCACGGATGTCATAATAATATCGGGAATTTTAAATAACGTTCGTTCAAAATAGTTAACATATGTTAGCGTAGTCCTACGTTAACTGTTCGTACAACCCCATTGGGCTGTCCCTTGTAGTTTTTTTTTCCAAAAGATTGTGAAGTTCCAGACAGTATCAGTTATGGTTAAAATTGTAAATCGGGTACAGTGTAATTGCAGCTTCTGTTGAAAAGGTTAGATTATATTGAGATCCCAAGGATGACCCCGGTGGAAGTTGTAATAGGGTAAAATTATAGTTTTTCACCAAAACATGCAGATTTATAGCTCTGGAGAGTAGGCTGTGCGTGTGTTTGAACCTGACGTTTGTTTTTTTCCGTGGAGTTTTTTAAATCTATAATCGGCTGCTGATCTGGCCATAAGCAGGCCCACGAAACAATTTCTAGTTCGTCATTCTAGGTCCCTATTATTTGCCGCTGAGAAGCTGTTCCGAAGCCAAGTAGAACCTCCAAGAGGCGACACATCATTAGTTCCATCATTCGTTGTGTCGCAGCGTTGAACCTGACTATTGGCCACGAAAAGGCTTGTCAATGCACAACAAAAATCGACTACATACATCTGAACATTTGTTTATCACAAATCGACGAAAGACACTCCGCGCAACTACCATAAACCGGACTAGTTCATGTTGAACTTCGTCTACAATTTGGACTTCTATATCAACGCATGTCAGGCAGCCTTCAGGTCTGCAACAGAACCCTAGTCGTGACAACTTCAAACTAGGTAATCAGGATTTTCCAGTAATCAAAGAATCACGTGTTAGTCCTTGTTACTTTTTATGACTTGATAATAGTGACAAGACTCGGGTAGTGACCACCGCGTCGTTATGCATTTCTATATAGGGGAATATACGTATTCTCGGCAACCTAAGCAGCGACCATCTTCCTATAGCCTTTTTCTCTAAGCAACGCACAAATATACAGTATTGGTTTGTTTACAATCTTTTGCTGCCAGCTGCTCTAACAATTTCAGTCGAAAGAATTGTCAAAAACTGTTTTGAAATGCTTTTACAAAGCTCCAAAATTCACTACGGGGAGCGACTATTGTGGGCAACGTCTTTTTATTCGGCAACCTTTCTATTTGAGTTGCGTGTTAAACAGCTGTGCTTTCATCGGCAACTCGAAATCAGCAGCGGTTTTGTAGTGCGTGTGTTTCATTTCAAGAAAACCCTGCTAGATTGCTTTTTCTCAGAAGTAAAAATATAATCAAATTGAAGCTGAAAGCCTATAGAATAGTTTGAATGCATTCAGAGAAGCATTTTCTCAAGAAAACCCAGTGAAATTGGCCGTTCAATTTGGGTTGCCTACAATAGTCTGGCATGCCGAAGCCGTCATTTCCCCTAGTATATTTCAAATCAAGAATATTGTTTATGTTCATAGATTTCACATAATCCTTTTCCCTTTGTCCTTTTCTTTTTCCTTTCCCTCTTCTCTTTTCAGAAAGCGAGTAATGGCGCTATAGCCATAAGTCATAAAAGGCTAGGGCAAGAGTTAGTGCTCATGCCCCAATGTCAGAAGAAAAGGGAGCATCACTTAACCTTGCTAGCTTTGATGCTTCCATAGAGCAACCAATCATATAATAACCAAAATCGGAACGTACGTTACGAGATGTCCACGTTTCATCCATTTATTGGATTCTGAAGCATCGTGTTTAAATCTTTGATTTAAACAGACCCGATGTTTTCTGAATCATCTTGCCCCTTAAATGCTGCACAGTAGGCCTGGCCGTTTTAATATGTGTGACGCATCTTCGATGTGAAACATATATCAAATAGACAAGAAAAATGATGTAGGTATATATATATATTTATATATATAATTTTCCAAGATGCTTTCATGAACTGGCTGTGTTGCTGTTAAATTAGATTAGATTAGATTAGAAAACATACAGTTTTATAGCTCTTTTTTTCATGATTTTTTTCTGTAGTCTTGTAATGGATTACAATTAACCACTTCATTCGAGCAGTTAAAATGACGTATACTACCACTCGCCCACGCATGCTAATGCTACCATCAGATAGGGAAATTTTTCCCCTACCTGCTAGTGGTGTTAGCGTATCCGAGCTACCAGGTACGCCAAATCGGCGATCAAATGCATTGTTTACAAAAGCTGATACGTCCCTTTGAAAAAGTTATCGAGATTTTGAGATTTTTTCTTCTAAAACCACGAGAAAAGTAGCCATAATTTGCGCGTTTCATAAAAAAATACAAATTAGTTGGTCCAGTTTTGTGAAATCGCTGGTAGAAAGTCACGCCAAAACTGCTACGCGATTGATTTTCAGTTGCGTTTTGTAATTTTATCCCAGGTAACATAGACAAAAACGTGGTTATTTTCTATAACAAAATTTGACGATTCTGGGACTTCAAAATGTTTAACAAGTATTTGACAGTTTGAGGTCGTTTGTTTAAAATAAAAAAATAGGTTAAATAAGAGTACGAGGTGTGGAAATTTAAGAAATTATTTTTTTAACAGCAAACTTATGGGACTTTTTTTTTAATTCTTTATTAAGGAGATTTTAAGCCTATGGCTAGTTCATCTCCGATCTTATGGGACCTTTTCACTTCTTCCCTCATTATAAAGAAGCCTTCAAATAAACATGACGGATTTGAAGTGGGTCGCCATTAACTAAAGAACTGAACATCCATATTAAAAAACATACCATAAGCGAACGATAACCCAAAAAATAGAACTTTCCAACAAATAGTTTGGATGATACCCGGAACACGTCGTTAAGCAAAATAACCATAACCATTTTATTAGAGATAGCATCATTCCTCAACATCACAGCCTCAATTTGAATCACAAACTCAATCAAATGCAATCGCCTGCTAGTATACTAGCTGCCAATCACGAGCCCCAATGCATTAAAGGTACACGGACGATTAGATCAACTCAAAAGTTAGTTGCATTCGACTCAATTTTATCAAAAGTGGATTTGCTCACAAAGTGAGTAAAATTTTCCGAGATATTCCACACTGAAAACGAATCCTACTCAGAGAGTAAGTCACTTTTACTCATTCGTATGGAAACATTTCTAAAATCCATGGTTACTCATGCGCTTTTAGAAATGTCTCCATATGAATGAGTTAAAGTGACTCACAACTGAGAAAAAGTGACTACCTAATTGAGTTAGTTATGTTTCCAGTGCAAGAAAAACATGAATATGAAGAAAATCGATGAAAATTTCACTCCGTCTAGAAGTATACTGCTAGACTGTGTGAAACCTCTCTGGATTTTTCTCACATCCGAGAAGTTTTTCCTGGAAAATTCAATTCACTGTTGAGCAAATCTACGTCTGGCAAAATTGAGTCGAATTCAACTCACTTTTGAGTCGGTTCTCATCGTCCGCGCATGCACTCTAACATGAGAACAGGTTCCTGCTCTCAGCGCATTGAAGTCATCGCTGTCAGTAAAGATGGATCAACACTAACGCATGACCAAGACCAAATGCACTCAATTCAACTTACTCATCGTTCCGTTGAGATCACCCTTTCCTTGCAAATCGAGCATCAACAATTTCATCTTGAGCGCGTATTTCCCAGTGAAGTTTGATTTCGGGATGTTCACTACAAAGTCGAAGGACAAGTTCATTGGTTTGGATCTGAAAACAAAACAACCGTATTTAAATCATCGATTACGGGGAAAATGCTCTCAGAAAACTCACTGCAACCGTTCCAACTGGAACGCACTGTTCCCGTACACATTGAGCTTTCTGACCACAACCTGAAAGTCCTTGCCCCGTTGCATCTTCATCTGCTCGATGTACAGTGGATCGATCTTCGGCATGGTGAATCCCTCTCCAAAATCACCGGACGCCAGGTTGGGCCGGATGTGATTCACCGCGTCCATAATGCATTGGTCGACATTGGGATCGTTTCGCGAGCATACTTTAATTGTACTGGCTGTGAATAGAGAATGATTATATGTATAAATTCATTGAACCGAAAACAATGCGAAAAATTAAAAACAAGTTTGACCGCACGTTGAACGTCTTTTTATCGACTAGCTTTAGTATGCGTATGACTTTCAATAATTTATATGCTAAATGGTTTTCACAGACTGTTATTATTTTTTTTCATTTGAGAGGTTAATATGGTGCTAGATAACACAAAAAAACGAAATTAATTCAGTTTTGTGTTTGTGTGATGGTCACACAGCCACAAGGCACAGTGGTCCAGAATCCGTATTTAGATGGAATAAATTGTATGTACCTAAATCATTAGTTTTAGGTATATAATGTCTTCAGGAAAGTTTTTTCATTAATTTTGACCAATATTTTTATATGCAAGAAATTAGGGTGGTCCATACAGTTGATGAGTTCCAAATATCAACTTTTCGATCAGCTTATTCGAGATACACCAGTGTAATGTTAGACAAAGATGAAGAACAAGCTATTAAAAAAAACTTTGCTGAAAGAAGCATTTTTTATCTATAATGCTTCATGATTTCTACTGAATTGTACTAAGTAACTTAGGGTGACCCCTAAAAAATCGGTTTTGAACAGTAGCTTTTTAAAAATATATAATTTAGAAGTTTTTCAAATTTTCAGACGCCTTATTTTCCGAAGCATCACAGTTACTATCTCATTTTGTTGAAAAGTTATAAACGATTTTCACTGAAAAATACGTAACGGGTGTCCACTAAAAAATGAGAATGATTTCAATACTTTTCTAACAAAACAAAATGGTTAATGAATTCTTACACCCTCCAGAAAATTGCCACACACTTTATTTCACTGTAATACCCCGTACAGACTATGGCTTACATCATGTAATATAGGCTGTCTTGCAATGAGCAGTCATACATCTAGTTATCACTGGAAATCCTATGTATGACTAAGAGATGAACTAGCCTCAGGCTAAAAATCTCTATAATAAAGAAAAAAAAAAAAAAAAAAAACCTATGTATGACTGCACAAATTGCAAGACAGCCTATATTACATGATATAAGCCATAGTCTGTACGGGGTATAACCGTCTTGTTCAGTATGCTGTCGAAACAGGAAGAACTGCGCACGTGCATTGTACATTCAAACGAATGAGGATCGTGGAAAAAAGTACGCGGTTTGCCAATTTAAGAGCGAAAATGTGTCGGTCCATCGCATACCGTATCCTGGCATCCATGGCAGTAGCCCGGAAAAGAGGTAGCCGTCCAACGAAGATAATGAATAAGAAGATGCTCCGCTCGCTGCACAACATGCTCAACAACAATGATTCGGTAAGCCAACGGGAAGCGGCCAGAAAGTTCCGTTGTTCGAAGTCACACATCTGCGATAGTGTGTAGAAATAAAACCAAATCCCCAGAGTACTCCGACGAGCTAATCCAAACCGTGCGATCGCAATGACCCTGGATGACCCGGAAGTACGGCGGAAAGCCAAAATATACCTTATTTGCCAAAAGACCGGAATCTGACAAAGCTCATGGTATACAAGGATAATTCATGACCAATAATTGAAAAGGCCTCGCTACACCGAACCTCTCGCGAACCGAAACATATATTCGTAAACCTACAACACAATCAGATAGAAGAGAATTCCCCCTACCTGTTCATTTTGTTGGTTTGCGTTGATGGACTACGGTTCGCTTCAAAATGGCCTTACAAGGTTTATTTACAAAATGGAGTTGAGGCCTTTTCAAATGTTGGTCTTGAATTGAAAGGCCAAGGATACCAAGCATCTCACCAACAGGATCAAAAACTGCATCCGGAAAATCGATGTGGCAGCCGTCCAACGGTCATGTTCCTATACTTACTTGATACTTGATGGGCTACGAATCGCCTTGTTGATTCTGCACCGACCGAAGTAGTCTTCTCCACTGGACTCGGTCCTGAACCAATCACTTCCAGTCGCCACGACGTTTAGCGACCTGATGTCCTCCTCAACTGCAAAAAGCTAACGTGTGCGGGGTTTGCTGAATATAATCTTTGCTTGTCGTTCCTTCGGCATCAGCACTACATGCCCAGCCCACCTTAGTCTGCCGTGTTTTAAAAACTTCACTATATCCGTACCGTTATACACTTGGTACAACTCGTGATTCATGCGACGCCGCCAGATGCCATTTTCTTGTTTACCGCCGAGTATAGATCGTACACACTAAGAATTTGTTTTCGTGTTCGGTAAATTTTACCGAAATCAGAATAGCTGAACGATCGGTAAAACTTCGACCTTCATTTTTTTTTTTTTTTTTTTGTTAATTACTTTATTTGTACAGGCTCAATCGAATAAACTTTACAGAGCCGAGTTATCATTTTTGTTATACATTATTGATTATAATGAGAGAGAGAAGGATTAGTATTTTCCATTTAATTCCACTACTTTATTTGCTTATCCTTGACAGATACGCGTATTTCGTCTACAATGTGCAGACTTCTTCAGTGTCTTGTACTAATACTCGACTGTCGAGTATTAGTACAAGACACTGAAGAAGTCTGCACATTGTAGACGAAATACGCGTATCTGTCAAGGATAAGCAAATAAAGTAGTGGAATTAAATGGAAAATACTAATCCTTCTCTCTCTCATTATACAGGTATTCCACTAAGACGCCCACATTCATCAGGATTTATACATTATTGATTTCTTATATATTTAAAGTTAAAGGAGCTGGACCGGATACTCGCGGTTGTCTCGAGGTTAGTGGGGATTTACAATTTTTTTTGGATGGGAAAAGGGAAAGGGAGGTTTGAAATGTGGTTTACGATACAAATATTTAATTAATCCTAAAACATGAACTAATTTCTATTCATCTTGAAAACAAACATAAAAAAACCCACACGTACAAAATACAAACTAAACACAAGGTTAATAAAACTTACAATCTAATGTTAATATTCTTAAAGTAAACATATATGAGTTTCATAAACTCCAGATCGCGTCTAGCCAAAATATCCCGAACTGGAACATTAGGTTGTCTACCTCGAGCCCGAAGGGAATCATAAAAATGTGATCTGACTCCACGATACTCCACACAAGACCAAAGGATGTGATCAGCGTCCTGGTAACCTTGTCCACAATCACAGAGATTGCTGTCCTTCAGCCCAACACGGAACAAGTGAGCGTTTAACGAGTAGTGATTGGACATGAGGTGAGACATCATACGAATGAAGTCTCGACCCACATCCAACCCCTTGAACCAAGAACTCTTCGACACCTTAGGGATGATCGAATATAGCCATCGTCCCAAACTCCCTTCACTCCACTTATTCTGCCAGCTGACGAGTGACTGTTGACGATAAATGAAGAAAAATTCATCGTAGGCGATTTGTCGATCGTAAATATCGCCTTCCATAGCGCCCACCTTAGCAAGTGAGTCAGCCATCTCATTGCCCGGAATCGAGCAATGAGATGGGACCCATGCAAAGGTGATGACAAAAGATCTTAAAGATAAAGCACTTAAAAGCTCTCGTATTTTCATGAGAAAATACGAGGAGTGCTTTACCGGCCTCATAGAGCGAATAGCCTCGACAGAACTGAGACTATCCGTAAAAATAAAATAATGATCTGGTGCAAGTGAGGCGATCGTTTCTAGCGTATAATGTATTGCCGCCAGCTCAGCAACATATACGGAACAAGGAGCTTGAAGCATTCGAGAGGCGCTATGAAATTCGTTAAAAATACCAAAACCAGCGGACGACTCTATTAGTGATCCATCTGTGAAGAACGATCTTGCGGAATCAACTTGGCCAAACTTTGCAGCGTAAATTGACGGAACAATCATGGAACGATGATGTTCTGGGATCCCATGAATCTCCCGCGTCATAGATAAATCAAAACTAACTGAATTGCCGAAGTCGGAGAAGCATACACGATGAGGATTATGCTGTGAAGACCTTCATTTTAAAGGCTATTGAATTTGAAAATAATTTCAAAACATGTTCAACCTTGTTTAAATGATCAAATCTTGTCATTTTAGTGAAGATTTAGTTTCAAAGTAGCTCAAAAGAAATTTAATTGAATTGCATAAATTTTACCGAACAGTTCAGCTGTTCAGATTTCGGTAAAAATTTGCATTATTGCAAACTACGGGACTTCAGCTGGTTACGTAATCCGTAAAAGGCCCTGTTTGCAGCTGCAATACGTATCTTCACCTTGCGGGTAACATCATTATCGTAAGTCACTAGTGTTCCAAGATACACAAATTCTTCCACTACCTCAAATTGTTCACCATCTAACACCACTTCACTACCAAAACCACTATTGCTGCCACGCTGTCTACCGGCTACCAAGTACTTCGTTTTGGTAGAACTTGTCGTAAGCCCAATCCTCGCCGTCTCCGTCTTAAAAGGCACAAAAGCCTGCTCAACGGTCAATGCGGTGCTGTTTACCACTCCGTGGATTGTGTTCCACAGATTGTTGAGGTCCTCGTTCACGCTGATTTCGCTAATCCGCTCATCAAGCTTCTGGCGATACTCTGCAGCAACACCTTCTGCTGACAAGCGATGGATATTGAAACGCATCGATCTCCGGTTCGGATTGGATTTATAACGGTCGACAGTCGCGCTCGAATTTTGCAGACAACAATATAATTATCTAAGCCAATGTTAGGCCCCCTGAAAGTCCTTACATCGATAACATCTGAGAAGTGCCGACCATCCACCAACATGTGATCGATCTGAGTGCAAGTTTCGCCATTTGGATGTCTCCAGGTGCTTTCGGATATTCTTGCGTGCAAAGTAGGTGCTACTGATGGCCATACCTCTAGCAGCAGCGAAGTATATTAGTTTCAGGCCGTTATCATTGGTTACTTAATTACAATTTTCACGGCGTGTTTTGGGCATCTATCATAAGTTTTATCGAGATTGTCATAAAATGTGTCCTTCACGTCATTGGATTTATCGTTAGATGGCGCATAGATGTTGATCAGGCTGTAGTTGAAGAATTTTCCCCGTATCCTTAATACACAGATGCGTCGCTTACCGGTCTCCATCACATAACACGCTTCATCTGCTTCCCGATCACTATGAACCCTACTCCATGTTCTGCCCTATCGCCACCGCTTCGAAAGATATGATATTTGAAGGAAGTGTTGGCAATGGGATCTACCGCCTGGAATTCACGTTCTCCAGATCTAGGGCACCGTACTTCCTGAATAGCAGCTACGCTCACATTGACTTTTTGCAGTTCACGAGCTAAAAGGCTCACTCTTCCAGGTTCATTTAAGGTTCTGACATTCCAAGAACCGAGTTTCCATTCATGGTCCTTATTTCGATGTCATGTTCCTATATCATGACCCGTATACAGTACCCGTTAAATTTTTGGACGGTTCAATTTTGGCAACGAAACTACAAAACTGTTCGTTTTTGGCACGTTACCGTTAGTAGAGTTTTATGCTATTAGTTGCATTTGAAAGAATATTATTTAATGTATCTGGGTGAAAAAAACTGTGAAGGATATTTTCGTTTAACTCATTTAATTCACTTTTTAATAGAGCACATTTTTACTGCACATTGATCTTAACTGAGATAGCACCTTAGAACAAATTTCTAGAACATACTAATCAATATATAAAAAGTTATTCTTGAAAACCTGATTTTTTAGGACTCACCCTAAAAACATGCATGAATCGTGAACCATTGGAGATTGAAAATTGCTTCCATTCAGCAAAGCTACTTCGAATGAGTTGTTCTACAACTTTGTCGAACATTTCTGAGACAAAGTTGTCGGGAAAAAATTATTCATTATAGGGCAAATATACAGGGCAAAAATACAAATATAACATCTAAAAATTCCGTTGTTTAATTTAATAATTTTGGCAACACTGCTCAATTTTCATATTTTCCTTGATTTGTTTTCCGTCGATCTTTTTTTTTTAATCATAGTCACTTTAACACTCTTGGGTCATTCGTGACTTGTCCGGGGGTGAGATTTGAACTCGTGACTTTGGCGTGAGGGGTATGGATGTTATCCACTACGCCGGGGTCGCGCCGTCCGTCGATCTTGTTTTCCGTGCTGAAACCAAATTTTACCCATAAAATGGATATGTGCACATTTTCGCGATTATGGGTATTCTTTACCTATATTTGGGTGAACTGAACTAAGCGTGTAGCGTTACGAAATCACTAATCGCGCTGAAAAGACGCGAACTGAGGCCAATAGACTTAAGAATTTCATAAAGCAAGACTTATGAACGACACATATGAATTTCATGAGCGCGATTTATGAACGATTTTTGTCTACCATAAGGTAAGTCATTCTATTTATCCAACCGCTGATAGACGAATGTGTAGCATCCCAGATAGTAACATAATACATTATCCTCAAGCCTTTATTAGCTTATGCTCTAAGGCTCTAAACTTTCCCACAGTACAGAAATCCTTACATTGACACATTTGACAAAAACCAGACATTCCCACATTCCAAATAAAATGTTCACATACTCCAGACCATTCCGTACGTGGAGTTTTACAATTGATTGTTTTGCAGCACAAGTGCAAAACACCACTTCAAACTAAAATTATTGCTAAAGCATTTTCCCATGTAATACATAATGACGACCCACGTTTTCATCACCTTAAGACAAAACCAAATCCAGATTCCCACACAACAAAACGTAATCTGACTCTGCCTTTTCCAAACCTCATTAAACCCAAGACAAGCAGACATAACTCTTTGAAAAAGTTTTTCTTGAAAACATAGTATCTCAAAACATAGGACCTCAGTAACGACATCTCTCGGCCTTCTCACGGAAAACAAGCTTGCTCGCTAACTCGCAAACAATATTGCATACAAGTTCTAAGAATGTATAGAAACGTCAAAGTGATCCGATGCCAGCGCTGCGACGAGTAGTTCGCGGAACTGATAATATTCAAATCAACCGTTAAATGCGTGAACGAAGATACACAGTGAAGTGTTACGTCTGTTTGTCTGTGATTAAACATTCCCATACACGACTAATAGCCAACCAATATTTATTGCATACGCACCGCTATGTTTGACTAGTTACACGTGCTGGCGCCGGACTCTCTTACTTTGCGTCAAGCGTCTCTCTCTCTCTAGAACAAATAACATTGTAGAGATATTTTACTATGTAGAGTTTAAGTAACTTGTAACCAAAAATATTTCATAATAAACAGAATCGGATAAACCATCAAAGCGTGATTACTTATTTGAATCACGTCCATGTTTTTGCATATAACAAACATTATTTTGCATATTCATATCGATTTCTTGTGGTTTAAATTCAGTGGTTCTTATACCTCGGTGTAAGATCACGGATTTGAGATTAAATTCATGAATATTCGATTTACTCGATCACGTTTATGGGAACTACGTCATGAATTCGAAAGAACTAATAGTTCAGCTTATGGTATTTTTTTGTTCACGAATATCGAAACAGTTTTTTTTTTGCGTTAGCAAACACTCAGATACAATTTGAACTTCGTACATTAAGTAGATCACCAGATTTGGCCCCGAGAAAATGCAAAGTGACAAATCAAATAGTATGAGGAATGGATTCCGTTAATCGCGGTTTTAACTCTAACTTTAATAAGTTTATCACCATTTTGATTTTGTAAAATTAATGCAATCACATTTGTCTGCCTTTTCTCACATCACACCAATGAGCACCAAGTTAACCAGAACGTTTTCCCCTTCCGTTCAGCTGATTAACTACAAGGTCATTTGAACATGATTCTATATTCACTGGTTCTAATTAATTCACTCACAACGGAAATAAGCACCAATAAACTACTTACGTAGTGCGCTGTTCGCTGAATTGATTAGCACCACTAAAATTATCACACTAATCGCGATCACCGATGAATGAATCTGACTCATTTTGAAAACCTCCGCTTTCCGCATCTTTTCACTGTAAAATAGTCTTTACGCGATCTTCTTATACCTATCACTATCACTTTCTTTGGCTCAATCCAAGTAACCAATGCGTTGTTGTCACTTTCTGTTTTCCTCGCCCACTACGATGTGAACGACTTTGTTTTTTGTAATGCCTCGGTAGGTCACTAGCCACGTTATCCACATTAGTCCTGATTTCTGCACTGGTTTGCTGTTAGCGGCTCGTTGCCTACTAAACCCAGTCAAGCCCGAGTGATGAACTATTTATAGGTGGCATTTTTTGTCGTTCTTCCGAGGACGCGTTTGATCTCCAGAATTAGTACACATTGTTTTCGCTTTTGATATGGAAGGCTATTAACCAGATAGACAATAAAACAACCCTCTCTGAATCAGTCACTTGTAAACACCAGGGCAAGGCAATGCAATTAGGTGCAAGGCAATGCAGGTTTGCGTGCTTTTCTTCCTCCCATGTTTTACAATGTCTGCTGATTTTGTTTTGCGGGAAGCTGCTGATACCGGCCAAACAAGACGCTGAATAGATATTTCCGTTAACATCCCTATATAATTTCCTATTACACACACCCGACCGGGGAATGCAAGATTCTCTTAGAAGCGATTCAAACATTACGTCCTTCCTTGAGAGGGGGTAGGAGTACTGCAACTTGTGTCAGTACGTGCAGTAGATTGGGAAAAAATGCTTGAGTAGTGGACGTCTTTTTCGAATCACCCCTCAGGTGCGCAGAATTTTAAATAAATTGCCGCATGTGCAAATTCTGTTATGTAGTCGTGGAAAGACTTTTCAAATAAATAGAATTTATCTTAACAATTGATATGAAGCAAGTAGATTTTTATTCTACATAAAAAAAACTCGTTTTGTGAAGGTTTTATACGAAAGTATCGATCTGGAAAAAGTTGCTTGATCGCTACCGAATGATGTCGATTCAAAAAATCACAAGCCAAAAAAAAGCTTCAATTGAGAAGAAATGTTCTAGAATCCTTAAAAAAAAATGTCCGGTATCTTTGAAAATTTCTTTAAGAATTTTGAAAATCTTTATAAAGATAATCTTATTTTTTTAAGTCTGGGATTTAAAAAAAAATCTTAATGATTTAAAAAAATACTCAAACTCCGAGTTTCAAAAATTTACCAAACTATTCAAAACAACAATTCAGATGGAAGATTGCAAGATAAATTGAAGAAATCTGAAGCTAAATAGAAAAGAGAATTATAGCATTTCAGCGCATTGACCCAAGATGATCCTCGATGGACTACTACCAACCGGTGGAAACTAAAGATTTTAAATTGGCTCACTACTTGACCATCCTATTGGTCCCAAGTACATTTATAAGCGTACCCCATTCTAGTCTAAATTCTAGTACTACACTATGTTTATTTTGATTCGCTATGAAAGTTTGACAGATAAAATGAGGGGTTCGTGGATTTTCCTTTGTTTCGAAGGGTGCATCGATTAGCTTGGGACCGAAGATAGTACCAGAGCTGAGCCAAAAAGTTGAGCACGTTGCTTCGGGACCTTCTTCTCTTAGAGTTACCTCTATGCTATTACACTACTTCATTTCATGAGGACACCAGTCTCCACAATTATTTAGTAGATTAGATTCTAGGGATACATGTGTTTCCAGTATAGCCTGATTGATACAATTAATAATCCAGCGGATCGTGTCGATTGCATCAAGAGGATTCGATCTGTCTTCAACCGAGGCTTCGAACAATGATCGTTATTATCCGGTTGTGTTTATGTTTGACAGTTGCGGATGTTGCTTGTTCTTATTTTTGAAATGTCGATGCATGCTAAGATTACTGTTTATCAGCAATATCACTTTGTATATTTTTAGATCGTCAGCGTAAAGCAGTAGGCTCGATTTCAGCCGAAAGCACAAATCATTCACGAATAATACAAAAATCAGTGGTCCCAGAATGTTTCCTTGTGGGACACGTGACGTGATGGAAAAATCGCGAGAACGAGTACCGTTTGCCCTCCGACCGGATAGGTAAGAGCGCAGCCATTCGGTGATCCAATTACACTGTACACAAACATCATCCTCCGATCGAATGAAACCTCAGACCATTCAAAACAAAAGACCGAAATCGCTTTTTCGAATGATAGCTGCAACCGGATGACGGTTGTTTTGAAATCAGATGATTTTCCTCTCGAACACTGGATGAAACTTGTTATGAGAAGGGATAGGGCCTTCAGTTGAAATGCGTAATGCTCTCTGCAGAATGACTGTCATACTAAATGGAAATGCATATGGTATTGCTTCAGCCCCATAGCGCAAATCATTCAAAACGATGATGTAAATAATTCTATCGAATGTCATTTGTTGATCTGAGCTGACAAACAAGGTGGAAGCATATGGATCGCTATCAGAGCTGTTACGAACATAGGTAAAGGATGAAAACCAATGTTTGGCTAAAAGAAAACCTCCACCACGAAAAATTTTTGTATCCATAATGGAATGGCTTTATGGCTATGCAGTATGGAATTGTAGATAATCAAATTATAAATCTAATTAAAAGCACTTGCATGTCACACTATTCTTAAATGTTTGTCCTCTGAGTGCCATATGTTTTATAGCTAATTTTCAAACGAAAATCATCCTGTATTTGGATGACAGTCATATGGATGTTCATCATCTGACGACGAGTTCAACCATAAGAAAATCATCCGAAATTCGAATGCATATTGTGAAAGGGCTCGAGCAATGCAATAATCATTCGAAGTATGGCGGATGTTTTGGTTCAGTGTAGGAAAGCCCAGATGCTTGAATTTGTCAATTGCGAGGTCATGTGGAACCATATCAAACGCCTTCGAGAAATCAAAGTATATGACATCAACTTGCCGATTCTCGATTTTTGAAGACAGAAAGGACATCAGGTTAGTCGTCGTAGATCGCTTAACAAATCCGATATCAGCGGTCGGGAGGCGACATACAGAGCTTTGTGAACCAATTGTTCGAACACACAGCATAAAATCGAAACAAAAAATAATCGGCAGCGGCGTCAGCAGTGAACCAGCACATTCTCTTAAAAACAACGGCGGTATGTTGTCAGTACCAGGCCCTTTCGAAACGTCTAACTTTTGCAAAGCTAAAAATATTTCGTTCTGGCTCACAACTAGAGGTGGACAGTTCAGATTGTATGCAGGGCAGGTCCTTACACTGTCAGGAGAAAATATCGGCGATGTTGTACTGTGCACATTTTCGAATAATTTGGCAAAAAGATTAGCTAGCTCATGCGGTGAATCAGCAGAGGAATTCTTGAAAGTCATCTCGGCAGGAATACGATTGGATTGCTTGCGGCTATGTATAAACGGCCAAAAGGATGACGGGTCTTGCTTTGCGGTCAGCTCCATTCGTGCGATGTAGCTACGGAATGCAGTAGTCCGACAGTCGTTGTAATCTGTTTTGAGCGAATACAGATTGATCCGGTTCTCAGCAGTCCGAGCATTTTTTTATGGCATCTAGATTTTGACTAGATTAGCTTTGCTACACCAGCATCCCAAGCGCACGGGAAGAAATATTTGCATTGGTACTATTTAAAAAAATATCAATCGGGAATAGTCGACATTTACAAAATAGGAACCACGACAAATATGGTGCCTTCACGGTAGTTGTTAAGTAGAAGCCACTGAAATTCTACTCCTTATCGGGTTGCGTGCTCTCATCGACGACAACGACACAGTAGGTGGTAATGGCTAACCGCAACGCAACATGTCACATTTCAACACAATGTCCGTAGATTAAAATCGGAAGCACATGCATCTTGTGGATGCGTCAATCTACTTCAAAATAAAAGAAGATGGACACACCTGATCAATTACCATGCGAAACTACTCAGCTGACAGTAGTGAATAGTGACAGGTTATTACATTCAGCTGGTGTAAGCACGAAAACAAAGATTGCCATGTTCTGATGACAGGAATAATTCCATTGTTGGTTGTATTATACGTTTCGTTGAAATTTGCTCGTCGCAGCTCTTGGTTTTTGTTGAGAAATTAAAATATTGCTTTGCTCATCAAAGCACTCGTGCCATGCATTTTGCCATTAAAAACAGTATAATACCCCGTTCACATTACAGCCTATATCACGTTATATAGACTGTCTTGCAATGAGCACTCATACATAGGATTCGCATATCATTCGCGATATCAACGAGGGATTCAGAGGAAACTCAAGTCGCACCCGAAGTCATTCTGGAATTACGTAAATGAGCAGCGCAAGGAATCCGGCCTACCTTCTTCAATGGTGTTGAATGGAGCAGTTGCTTCCACTCCTCAGCAGATCTGTCGCTTGTTTTCTGAGAAGTTCGCCAGTGTTTTCACGAATGAGAGATTAACTGACGAACACGTTACCCTAGCAGCTAGTAATGTTCCACTGTACGGTCAAACACTGGGTGCGATGGATGTCAACGTCGAGATGATTTCCACTGCCGCATCACAACTCAAGTCGTCCTTCAATCCAGGACCCGATGGCGTTCCATCCGTATTCCTGAAAAAGCATATGGCCAGCTTGCTGATGCCCGTGCTTCACCTATTTCGTTTGTCCATCTCGAGTGGTACATTTCCATCTTGTTGGAAATTCGCACATATGTTTCCTATCCACAAAAAGGGCAGCAAACGGGATGTGGACAATTATCGTGGAATTACGTCGTTGAGTGCAGTTTCGAAGTTATTCGAGTTAGTTATCATGGAGCCTCTACTCTCTCATTGTAAGCAGTATCTAAGTGGTGATCAACACGGCTTCACTTCCGGTCGTTCTACTTCCACAAATCTGCTGTGTTTGACATCGTATCTTACGGAAAGCATGGCAGAGAGGACTCAAACAGACGTCATATACACCGACTTTTCAGCTGCCTTCGATAAGCTAAACCATGCCATCGCGATTGCCAAGTTGCATAGACTTGGGGTCAGCGGCAACCTCTTGCGATGGTTTCGTTCATATCTCACTGATCGGCAACTGATGGTTGCCATTGGTGACAACCGGTCCAATATATATCAAGCTACGTCAGGAATACCTCAAGGAAGTCACCTGGGACCTTTGATTTTCTTACTCTACTTCAATGACGTGAACTTGGTCATCGAAGGCCCACGACTATCGTATGCAGACGATCTTAAAATCTACCTACGAATCCTCTCGATTGATGACTGTCACTTCCTTCAACGTCAGTTCGAAGTTTGAACCGAATGGTGG